AGACAGACAGACAGACAGACAGACAGACAGACAGACAGACAGACAGACAGACAGATAGACAATGTTTTTCTATTCCTCAAGAACGAATGTTTTCATTGAAAGTTTCTAGCTATTCAAGTTTCAATTTTATTGTGACCGTTCGTGGGTTTTTATTGCATACTATTATTTTATTTTTTAGTAAACGCATTGCCAGGCTCACTGAGTGACTATTTTTCTCATAGAAATCTGTATACGTGTACATTTACACACACACACACACACACACACACACACACACACACACACACACACACACTCACTCACTCACTCACTCACACACATACGCACACACACACACAACACACACACACACACACACACAACACACACACACACACACACACACACACACATAGCATAATACTATGTTTTACGTTCAGAAATGTCCATTAATTTTTAAGATGTGATATTTTTATTAATGTAATGTGCATTGAGAATTTTTTTAGAAACCAGATTCACTCCCATCACCCTCTAAGTCTAATGGCACCTAGGGTGCGTGTCTTGCACAGCACCTCACTATTATCCAGTACAAACAGCGGAAAGTTTCCACGAATAATTATTTGATATGATATGTCGAGACATTTTGAGAACGACCAACCGTTCTTTCGTGGAGGGGTGAAGGGCCACCATTTAGGAATAATTAACTGTTCGAATTCTCCCAAACCAACCCTGTATCATTTTCTTGGTCACAGTCGCGTAGGCTACATTTGAAAGACATCGAAGCTAACAGCCAGTCAGATGACTACTACATTGTTACCTTAGAATTACAAAGTTCTGTCTGACATTTTTTTACCGTTCTGACTTACTAAAACCATGATGCCAGAAACCAAATTAATGTTCTATCCAGAATCATTATCAAGGTATTCAAAGAATTACTTTCGAAAAAGCTCGACATGTTGTGAAACTCATTTTTTTAACGTCAAATTTTTTCAAAACTAGGTACTGAGTAGATAGTACTTTATAATTCGTCACATTGTGAGGTCAGATACTTTAGCGCACGGAAAGTGATAGGCCCTAATGGACTTCCGGGTCAAATTTCATGGACCAAAGCAGAGGTCAATTTATCAGTGTGCAATGTGCAAAGGCCAGTGCAATTGCCCGACTCGACTCGACTCGACTCGACTCGACTCGACTCAACCGGACTCGATCTAAACATGCAGATAGGGTCCACTTCGAAAGTCTTTGGTGCCCCAGTACTCAACAGCACCCCCTTGCTTTTTGTTTCAGGTAGCACCGCCTCTTGAGCCAGGTGTGAACGCCGACCGATACGTTCAGTACTATTGCGAAGAAGGTAGAGAAGAAAAAGCTTTAGCTGGTGTGGTTTGCTTCTTCTTTCCTATCAAACTTCTATCGTTCTTATCTCCCCTTCTTCCTTTTTATGTTTGTTACTCTCTTGTACAAGTCTAATCGTCTGGCGCTCATATGACCTAATGCAGTTGCGAGCGCCGTAAAAGCTCTACTAAAACTAAAACATGCACACACGCGCACAAAACCATACACATGTTCCGCGCAATTTGCCGATCGCTGGTGCCTCTAAAAATAAATTATTGATGGATGCTCTCTCTCTCTCTTTCTCTCTCTCTCTCTCTCTATCTCTCTCTCTCTCTCTTTC